GATTTTATTGCAGATCTGCATCAGATCTTTGGCCAAATCTTGGCACATCTGCATTGCAGAAAAACTGCAGATTGCAGAATCTTTACAGATTCTGCAAAGATTTTTGCAGACCGAGTTTTTTTGGGTACTTGTCATCTGTACGACACATGGACCAAATGAAACAAAGAAGAAAAAAGGTGAATCACCTGAGAATACATTTCAGTTTCTATACTGACCCTTTAATTTAATTTACTAATTTTTAAATATATCAATAACTCGAATTATCTTAATAACTGACCATGTAAGTAATTTACTGATAATTCATTTATTCTACTGACCATTCAACTATTTTACTGATTTTATATTTATTTTACGTACTGATCATTTCACTTATTCTACTGATCGTTTAAATGATAGCCATTTCCTTATCTACAGTAGATCGAAAGCATCCACATCTTGAAATTTGTGTGCGTCAAGGTAGCCGACAGACATTCTTTGTGACCTGAATGAAGCTTAGTTATCAAGCAAGTAGTATTTCTCCTACTTCTAAGCTCGAAATATTGGTTTTTGGCAAAATTATAAGAGATTTATTAGACAGCGCTAAATCGCAGTTTGCAAAAATAATGCTTTTGCAAAACGTCTGAAAAAGAAACAGATTTCTCATCCACTGGAGTTTATGATAAAATGTTTTAGTTACACTTAAATGGTCGAGCTTTTCGAGGACTACGAGATGATGATTTTCTTCACATCAATATCAACTGAAGTTAACTCAAAAAAATTGTATTTTATTCGTTCGAAAGTTGACAATGTTGATACTTCGCAGTGTAATTATTTACATTTTATAAGAACTCGATGAATACATTTCTCAAGAATTTTTAAATGCAGATAACTCTAGACGATAAGAATTGAAGGCGCTGAAAGTGCAATTTACTCCATAGAACTCGTTATTAACTAGGTTATGTATCGCAGTATACGTGTGCTGAATTACAACAAATGCGTTTTATTCGTAAATCAAAGAAAAAGTCAACAGCAAAACTGGATATTTATGAAACAGAATATGTACCAACACTAGAAGAAGTAATCAAATTCTTAGAGCCAACACATTTAAAAATAATGATTGAAATAAAAGAATCAGGAAATATCAAAAAAATGTCATTAATTATTAATGAATTGTATGAAAAATATCCCTATTTATATGAGAGAAGTTTTTGTGCATCATTTGATCCTCGAAATCTATACGCAATTCGTTTACTTAATTTAAGAATAATAACCGGCTTTATCTTTGTTAAATATTTCACGGCTGATTTGATAAACGATGCTGCAAAAACATCAAAACCAATATCAATGATTTTTCAAAATAATTTAATTTTAAGATATATATTAGATGAATTATTTTGGTGGTTAGGTACACCGAGAGGATTAAAACTGATGGGATGTAATATTGCTTGTCTGGAAAACACAGAGATAAATGATCGTTTAATTGATGTGTATAAACAAAACAAGTTAGTTCTAGCAGTTTGGACTGTAAATACGCTTGAACAAAAAATGTGGCTCAAATCAAGAAAAGTATCAATTATTACCGATATTCACTTTGATTAATAATTTCAATTTCGTAATACTTACACAACATGGATTCCGTTAAAGATCTTATTATACAATGTACACTTATTTTACTCAATAAATAAAGCTATACATTGCTAGACGACAACCCTCGAAAAATGCGAAGTCCTATGGGATTTCCGTTTTTCGACAAAATTTATACATTTTTTGTAGGCTCGAAACCATTATGGCAAGTCCCGTAGGGCTCCCGGCCAACTCACGACTCATCCTTTTGTTTTACCAGTGACACAAGTATATATAAAACCCACATATTTTTTGAAAAAATATCAAAGTTTTTCTCATATATTCATTAATAATTAAGAAGTCAGTGACTACTAATGAGTCACTAACTACTAGGAAGTGAGGGTGAAGGCAGCAACAACAACAAACAAATCACCCCTTTTGATAATGTTTTTTGATAATTAGCATTTTTTACCGTGAAGCAAGCATCTGACAAATCTGGCTCTCGAACCAGAAATGTCAGAAATTAAATTTTACATATTTTAATTGTTGACACCAACTTCGTTGCGATCTGCAGTGACGGACTGTTGGATATACTTTATTCCCTTGACTGAAAGTCTTGGGTATATAAACGAAATGTCCGTCCGTCCGCAGTAGAGTAGTGACACCTGACGCCACTCAAACGTAAATTAGAGACATATTCACATTCGAGGAGGAAAAACGCGTATTTACTACTTTTCTCAGCAAGAAGACATCTTAGATCTGCGAACCCCGAATAAAAAATGTCAGAAATTAAATTTTAAATATTTTATCTGTGCACCATTTTCGTTGCGATCTGTATTTAAAGATGTATCAGTTAATAAATGGGAACGAACTTGCAGTGGCGTGATTATGGGTGGTAGGAGGCATTGGGTCATAGCTCAATGCAATTTGTTTGAAGACTTTTTAGGTTTTTTTGTCTCAATTTTGAAATTCCACTAAAAGATTGCGTTTTCGAGATGACCTGAGTCTAGTGTAGTTCGATGAAGCACATTAAATTATACAGAAAACAAATTTGTCATCGGTGAGGAATTATGTATTAAGCAGAAAATTTAAAAGAAAAGACAACGCTTGTATGTTTCATTCTTTTGATCTTGTTTTGTTGAGTTCAAATTTTAATTTTTTTCTGCACGCTCATATTTTTTGCGCATACAGCTTTTTTTTCGAAGCAATAAATACGACAAGAACAAATTCTACTGTTTCCTTTATTCTCCAATTATTCTCTATTATACAAGATGAAAGATTAAAATCTATTATACAGGATTTCATGAAATAACTATCGAACAAATGAATCGTCATCACAATGACAAGGGGAGATCTATTCCAATTGAAAGTTTAGTTTAAGTTTCATTGTTATCTACATCGAAGCATATGAAACATAGTTGTAGTACATTGACGGGTGCCAGTAGTTTAGTAATATTCAACAAAACTGGGTTTGTTACTGTCCATACCGGTATAAACGATTTAGTAAACACCTTTAACAATAAAATATTTTATTCTATCGATACTTACTACGAAGCCATTGTTGTTATGTCTTAGCAATTTCAACAATTTATTAAAGAGACCGTTATTCCTAAACTAAAAGTAGTGCAAGGAACTTTATGGAAAGATAGTGAAAGTAATACAATGGCACGACGAAATCAAAGTGAAAGATCATCCGAAGTAAGTCACGTATTTTTTTCTTGTAAGAATAAGTCATGTTTTTGATTTTTTCTTGTTTATTTAGACCAGAATGCTTATTCTTGATAAGTCAAGTAGAAATAGTGTCTAAAAGTTTCTGTTTTAGAAACTATTGTCGAACGGTTACTTTGAATTCTCTTCCCGAATCCATAACTGACGTAAACTGCGAGCTTGTGATAAAACGTTTTCAGAAGTGATTTCGCGTACACTTTCAATATTTACCTGAGTCATTTGCACACGGATAACGCTTCTAAGCTCCAAAGAAATCTCAAGAAAACGATGTCAAAAAAGAGCCTAAACAGAGGAGTGTTTATTTCGTCTCTTATAAGGCGCTCCAAATTCGAAGTTACAGTGAAATTCGCAATCCACTCTTGTTGCATATCCCTAGACGTAGAATTTTACGCTGATTCAGAATATTACCTTTAAAGTTCGATTAACTTGCATCTTCGTTGAGAAAAGCGATAAAAACGTGTTTTTTTGCCAAAAACGGCTAATTTTGTAAAAATCACTTTATATTTTGTTACAACAACTAAATTTACTAAATTTGGAACCTTCAAAGTTAGTTATTCTGACTCATCGTGAAAAACTGCATCGATCTACGTAAGCTTTAAAATTTTCCAATGAATAAAAGTGATCCACAAATCCACACGGATCGATATAATAATGAGTTTTACCTCGACCCAGGAAAAATGCCATCAGATTTTTTTCGTAATAGATACAAACGTAATTCTTTCGCCATTCGATTCCCCATGAAATTTGCTACAAACGCAAGGATCTTTTTTTCGAATTTTTTTCTCTTGCTGAGTTATGAGGTTTTTATCGAAAAAATCCACTTTTTGGCCCAATTGGCGTAGCGATTTTTTAATAACTTTTTTGTTTTAGCTTAAAATTTTTTGAAACTCGAAGTATAGAAGTAAAAAATGATTGCCAGTCCACTGGCGATATTTCTGAGTTTCCACGAAGTTTAGCAGATCTGGCTGAATGCCTTACGTAACGTTTTCCATCCAAAGCCTAAAACCTAAAAAGAAGATGGGTTTTGCAATTTATTTTAAGTCCTAGAATCGAAGAATACTGAGAAAATAGACTACTATTCCTATTATTACTATTGCAATTTTGTGTTGGTGATTTTTCGATGCGAAATAATTTTGTCTTTGCATAATCCCGAAAAAAACATTTGAAGGATTTGCTTGTAATCCTGTCCTTACTGATATCCGGTGAGCGCTTTTCAAAATCTTCTATAGAGCTTCAGGTAGATTTGTTTTTGGTCGAAACTGATTTTTGATTCTTGAATCAATAGTAACATCTTTTTGAATGTTTGGTCGCTATTCTTGCGGACATATCCCTTCATATGACACCACATTCCTTCAATTGCGTTCAATTCGCAGTGATATTTTGGACCAAAGATAATTTTGACGCCATACTTGATCTCAAGTTTTTCCAATTTTGAGATTTGTTTGAATGCTTGATGTTTCTTCACGATTTTTTGTAATTCAGCCAACTTGCACCCAACCGGCACTTTGCAACCCAAATCCAAAGCGATGTTCAATAATCCGCGGGACATATCTTTGTCTGGGCCACTTGTAAAGTAACAATCGTCTGTGATTTACGAGGCGCAAATGTAGACGAGTTTAACACAGGTAATATTAATCAATTACGTCTTACTCTTTTATTGTTTCATTATTTCTTGTAAGGTGATCGAGTGTTCAGAGCCTGTCCTCCAGGATTTCGGGATGTTGGGAGAGGGGTGCTGCTTGAGTATATCCTTGTCAAGCACGATTATATGGTCAAGGTATCTGATAATATCTCGCTCAAGGATGCCGCATTCTTCCCGGCCACAGGTATTAGCCATCATTACTCTCTTCCTATAATATGTTTTCTTATGCTCCTCGAATTTTAGGGTACACAGCATATTGCTTTTTAGTTGAAAAGGCCAAGTTGAAGAAGGGAGACAAGGTGTTCATCAATGGTGGATCAGGGGTCGTTGGTGTAATGGCAATTCAACTAGCGCGTACAATTGTCGGGTCCACGGGTCTGGTGGTCGCAACATGCACTCCAACAAAGAGCGATATTATTCGAAATCTGGGCGCAGACGAGGTATTTCTTTTGAATTTTGTTTCTAAAAATAAACACATTTATCCCTTTCTAAGATCATAGGTTACACATCACACGTCCTGCCGGATTTTCTTCTGAAGCACTATAGTTCACGTCCGTTTAATATGATCCTGGATACTGGAATTGACCCATTTTTATCTCTCTTTTGGGCTCCACGGTATGGTTGGCCACCAAGAGGCTCTTACAATTGTTGAGCGCGATGGCTATGCCTGTATACCTTGGAGGCGTACCTCGCAGACACATATTCGAGCCCCTCAAAATGGTCCACTCGCGAATGGTTGCTATGGCGCAGTTAGTTGAAGAAGAAGCCTCCAAAGCTGTGATTGGCTCTACGAACAAATTTACGGATGTGCTCGATGCCTTACTAGCTACTGAATAGCTAGCTCCTGGCTGATTTTGCAAAACTTGAATCAAAAAAGGCGACTATAACTTACAGGTCAATTTTTGACTAAAAAATGGGATATACAATTAAAGGTACATAAGATGTCTCCCAGCTCTTCACCATGTTTTCTG